TTCTTCTTCTTCTTTTCATTCTTCTTCTTCTTCTTTTCATTCTTCTTTTCATTGTTCTCATTCTTCTTTTCATTCTTCTTCTCATTCTTCTTTTCATTCTTCTTCTTCTTCTTTTCATTCTTCTTCTTTTCATTCTTCTTTTCATTCTTCTTCTTCTTCTTTTCATTCTTCTTCTTCTTCTTTTCATTCTTCTTTTCATTCTTCTTCTTCTTCTTTTCATTCTTCTTTTCATTCTTCTTCTTCTTCTTTTCATTCTTCCTCTTCTTCTTTTCATTTTTCTTCTTCTTCTTCTTCTTCTTCTTCTTCGTCGTGCCCCGTGACTGCCCAAATGAGTGAAGTGTGCGGTGATTCTAAGATCGACGGCACTCATCTGCATGTCATACTGACTGACAGTATTATTTCTCTTCCCCAGCAGACTCCAAGGGCATTTAAATTAAAGGTACAGTGTTCTGCACTAATATAAAGGCTCTCTGAAGCCTAGAAACCCTTTTAATAAGTTAAATTCGCAGCGAATAAATTCGCATCGAATCAAATTTCTTCCGCAAATTCGGCGAATCAGCCGAATCGAATTTTTGAATAATTCGCTCATCTCTAATAGTAATAAAAGAGAGGGGGGAAAACATCTCAAATGATCCTAAGACCCTGCACGATACAATGTTCTAAAATTTCATGTACACACATATACGATTTAGAGCAACATAGAAAAAAAAAAGGCAGAGTCCACAAAATAGGTTCAGGAACAAACTGGTTGAGCAAATCGGGTCTGGATACAGATGATCAGGAGTGTATTTAGCACAAGGCAGACAAGGCACTTGCCTAGGGTGGCATTTTTCAGGGGGGGGGCAGCACCTCCCCTCAACAGAAGAGATGGAAGAAAGGACACGCGTGATGGGAACCAGGTGGTTTCTGAGGGAGGCTGACTCTTGTTCCCAGGGATGTCTGGAGCTGTGAAGAGATCTTTCTTTCTATCTATATATGGGGGAGCAGGGGTGTTGTTGGTCAATGTCCAGCTCTCTCTGCGGGAGGGGGAAGGGGGGGGGGGATGTTGGTCGGGGTCCGCGGGGCAGACAATTTTTCTGTTTTCTAGGGCAGCACAAAACCTAAATACACCACTGCAGATGAGCACAGGGTCAGGTCACAAGCAGAAGGAGCTGACAACCACTCAGCAATGAACCTGAGCCCTGTAAGGCTTTAAATAGACCACTAGGTGCTAAAGTCCATTATTATTATTATTATACAGGATTTATATAGCGCCAACAGTTTGCTCAGAATTTTACAATATAACAGGAGACAATACAGCAACAATACAGTTCAATACAAGAGGGTTAGGAGGGCCCTGATCCTGGGAACTTACAATCTAGGAGGGAGGGGATAGTGTGTATGTGTGCCCATAAAGATGCATGCAGGGTCCAAAGGATGTGCACAGTTCTATGGATTGTTCTGCCTGCTTGCTCATTTCTTTGAACTCGGGTATTCATTTGAGCATGGACATTCCTTGGAGCCTGAGCATGCCTTTGAGCAGGAGTTTCCTGACATTTGGCCACCATGGAATATACACAGGATGTTAAAAAAAAGCAGCAATACGGGTCTGACAAGATGGCAATATGGAATATTTAATTCTACAGAAATATTATTATTATTATACAGTATTTATATAGCGCCAAAAGGTTTGCTCAGCGCTGTACATTATAGTGGGGGACAGAACATGAGACAATACAGTACAATACAATACACGAGGGGTTCGAAGGCCCTGCTCCTTGGAGCTTACAATCTAGGAGGGAGGGGATATTGGTACAGGAGGAAGTGGCTGTGGGGGATGGAGTGGTGAGAGGAGTGGAGGAGATCGGCTGTTAGGTGAGGGCGGGGTAGGCTTCCCTGAAGAGATGGGTTTTCAGGGTGCGCCTAAAGGTGAGGAGGGTAGGTGACAGTCTGATGGATTGGGGTAGTGAGTTCCAGAGAATGGGGGGAAGTCCTGGAGAAGTCCTGCAGTCGGGCTGTGGGAAGTGGAGACTAGGGAACTAGAGAGTAGGAGGTCTTGTGAGGAGCGAAGAGTACGGGTTGAGTGGTATTTTGGGTATCAAGTCGGTCAGGTCCTAAACTGCGTTATACACAGATCGAAAATCCTGCTGAAGTGGACAAATTTCAATCCATGTGTACCACTGTTTGTTCAACAGCAGGAAAACCAGTATTCAACTGGCACATGCAGCCAACTGCACGGCTGAACAATATATTCTGACAAAGGGAGGGGGGGGGGGCATCCCTGCTGTGAGAAAAACAATACTGGGGGAGATGAGTGGGGGAGATGTCTCCATTCATATCGCTTATGTGGATGTGGGGATCTGTCAGGTTTTTTTTTCTTTAAACCCCCTGGTTGAGCAAAAAAACAACCTGTCCATGTATACCCAGTTTTATTATAAGCAGTTCATAGTGACACGTTTATACCATATAATTAATGTATTCCGCTGAATCCTGCGCTAATCTAATATTATAATAAATATATAAAAAAAGCATAAAACCTTGAATAAAATTAACATCTAAATAATTATCAAGTGCATTTAGATAAATATGTGCAAATAGCCCAAATAAAGCCCAAATAGTCAAAAGTGTTAAAAAAATAACCACTTTGCCTTGTATTTCTACTCTTTCCCAAAAACCGCCTTGTATTTCTAAATTCCCGCGTGCAAGAAAAACCACCGCCTCCAGAATCACAACATGGCCGCTCACCTAAATGCATAGACCCTTAAAAATTAAAGGTCAAACACGTGTGTGTGTTTTGATAGTATGTAACCACCAAATCCAGTGCCAAAGTCCTCCACCAAAACTTGTACAGTACAAGCCGCTCAGCGGGATCAGCTCAGCAGGATCAGCGGTGACAGGCTAAGTGGCAAAAACTCCTCTCCTCCTCTGAATTGGCAGCAATGCAGCTCATAAAAATAAAAGCATGCAAATCTCCGATTTAAAACTCCAATCTCTTTGAACCTGATGTAGTCACTAGACATTTGCTGAAAAAAAAATAAATTTTGTTTCCTTTCAATTAATTATTTAAATCATTTTGTTTAGTTCAAAATCATTGAATTTGTTTTAGTAATTTGTTTGGTTTCGCTTATTCATTTTCAAATATGATTTGAATGTTCCAAATTTGGTCAAATTGAATTCCATTTTCGAATTGCAATTCGAATTCGAATTTATTCTATTAAAAATTAAGATTTCAGAAAACAGTTATATTCTTTCTATTTTATTTTATTCTATTCTATTGTTTTTTTCTATTCTATTCTTTTGTTTTTTCATTTTATTCAGTTTTGTTTAACTCTAATCTTTTCTATTCAATTCCTGTATTTTCTATTCTATTCCTTTATTTTCAATTATATTCTATTCTATTCCATTTTACTTTATTGTTTTCTAGTCTAGTCTATTCTTTTATTTTTCATTTTATTCTATTTTATTCTATCCTTTTATTTTCTATTCTGTTCTGTTTTACTTTAATCTTTTCTATTTATTCCTTTATTTTCTATTGTATGTTGCTCTATTATTTTCTATTCTATTCTGTTCTATTTTATTGTTATCTGATCTATTCTTTTTAATTCTATTCCTTTATGTTCTATTCTATTTTTATTCTATTCTTTCTTTCTTTCAAATTCAATTTTGTTTTCGAATTGGATTTCACTTTCGAATTTGATTCAAAATCAAATTTCGTCCAAAATTTTTTTTTTTTTGTAATTTCAAAGTTGTTTAGATTCGTTATTATTGTGATTTGGAAATTCGGATACATTTGAATCTCTGAATAATGAAAAATTTGTCCGAATTTCGATGCAGAACTAAACGATCTGCACATGTCTAGTAGTCACAAAGCAGGGGTAACCCGCAGCTCACCGCTGTAAGCTCCTCCAGCTCCCGTCGGCTTCACGTTGACAGATGAATATGGTTAGTGCAGGGAGAACACCACTCTAGACACTTTACAGATGAATACGGGTAGTGCAGGGAGAACACCACTCTGGACACTTTACAGATGAATACAGGTAGTGCAGGGAGAACACCACTCTGGACACTTTACAGATGAATACGGGTAGTGCAGGGAGAACACCACTCTGGACACTTTACAGATGAATACGGGTAGTGCAGGGAGAACACCACTCTGGACACTTTACAATATGGGTAGTGCAGGGGAGAACACCACTCTCTGGACACTTTACAGATAAATATGGGTAGTGCAGGGAGAGAACACCACTTTGGACACTTTAAGAGATGAATTACGGTAGTGCAGTTGTGTTCAGGGAGAGGAACACCACTCTGGACACTTTACAGATGAATATGGGTAGTGCAGGGAGAACACCACTCTGGACACTTTACAGATGAATACGGGTAGTGCAGGGAGAAACACCACTTTGGACACTTTACAGATGGAACAGGTATGGGTACACTTTACAGATGAATATGGGTAGTAGTGAGAACACCACTCTGGACACTTTACAGATGAATATGGGTAGTGCAGGGGAGAACACCACTTTGGACACTTTACAGATGAATACAGCGCTGCCCACAACAGACTTTATTTGGACTATTTGCACATATTTATCTAAATGCACTTGATAATTATTTAGATGTTAATTTTATTGATGGTTTTATTTGTTTTTTTTATTTGCTACAATTATTATAATAAGAGATCATTTCAAGATTTAACAGAACGCATTAAGCATATAGTATAAGCGTGGCACATTGAACTGCATATAACTATGAACTTTGGTGTGCTGCAGCTTGTTGGTTCTAAAGCACAGCAATTTTTAGGTGAGAGCAAAAAGGTTTATTATTATTGTTTTAAGATTTTATTATTAATACACACTACTGTGTAATATCATTCTCTGTCTACTTCACTGGGAGTTCGAAAATGATACATTTATTTAATTTTGGCAGATATTATCCAGAAAGTGTCAAAACCATTACTTGTAGATCTGGTCTTATGGGTGTCATGCAGTTTTTTAATTGTTTTTTTCTCTTCCCTACAGACTCAGGATAGTGTAGCTGGAGCCTTGGCCTGCACCAAGATCCTGAAGGCTCTCTCCAAGGAGGAGGAAGACTCTAAGGAAATAGAGGACATGACAGCACTGGCAGACCTTTATGAGGAGCGAGCTGCAGGTAACATAAATGTTTAAGTCCCTGTTCACATCTTACGTTTTGGAAGCACAATGCGCTTTTGGGTGCCATTATTCTTTACTGCCACCCCAAACATGAAGCAATTCTGCTGTAATCATAGCATGACACGATTGTGGCAAAACACAAGTTTTAAAAACACACAATGCTTGTCATTCAAAAAGGAGCAACAAATGCACATAGGACAGCCCATGAAGTGAATGGTCTGTCCTACGTGCGACAAGCAAAATCACGTGCAAATCACGCAAATAAAATTGCAAGCAGGAACGCTTGTTCCTGCTAAATGAAAGTGTGAATGCTGGCTTAAGATTGCAGTTTACTGTCTAATAGGGAATATGAAGTTTATGCTGATTACAGCTTGCAGTCTGAGATATTAAAGTTAGGGTTGCCACCTCTCCAGGATTCACCCAGACAGTCTAGGTTTTGAATCATGTGCCCGGTTTTCAGTCCACCTAAAATCCAGACACATTATTCAGACCAGACTGTGGCTCCCTATGATTGCTGGAGAGAGGATTAGGTGTTCTCCTTGCTCCAGCTTGCAGAGGGCGACAGAGAGCAAGCACTGAGACTGAGAACTCACCTCAGTCTCAGTGCGGCACTGCATGGAAATGAAGACAGTCTGTCCTCCCTCTCCCCTAGTCAAGTGACTTATCACATGACTGGAGAAAGAAAGGAGGAGCTGCCCTCTTTTCAGTTTGTGATCTGTGAGGAATGACAATGCTGATGTGTTGAGGAATACCTTGTGGGGGCACCTGATGTAAGGGGGACTCTGATGGGGGCACCTCATGTAAGGAGGACTCTGATGGGGACACCAGATGCAAGGGGGGCTCTGATGGGGCACATGATGAAAGGAGGAACTCGTATGGGGACACTTGATGTAAGAAGGGAATCTGATGGGTACACCTGATGTAAGGGGGACTCTGATGGTGAGATCAGATGTAAGGAGGAACTCTGATGGGGGCACCTGATGTAAGGAGGGACTCGGATGGGTACACGAGATGTAAGGGGGACTCTGATGGGGACATCAGATGTAAGAAGGGACTTTGGGAGCACCTGTGGGGAAGGACTTTGACCAGATGCAAGGGGGGCTTTGATGGGGCACATGATGAAAGGAGGAACTCATATGGGGACACTTGATGTAAGAATGGAATCTGATGGGTACACCTGATGTAAGGGGGACTCTGATGGGGAGATCAGATGTAAGGAGGAACTCTGATGGGGGCACCTGATGTAAGGAGGGACTCGTATGGGGACACCTGATGTAAGAAGGGACTCTGATGGGTACACGAGATGTAAGGGGGACTCTGATGGGGACATCAGATGTAAGGAGGGACTCTGATGGGGGCACCTGTTGTGAGGAAGGACTTTGATGGGAACACCAGATGTATGGAAGGACTCTGATGGTGACACCTGTTGAGTAGGGTGGAAGCGTCCTGTATAGTTCCCTGAGGACATCAAGTCATAAAGCGGGTTGATACAGAGCTACAGGAAGCGACGTCATCATGCTTGACACTCCTATAAGTGACTCAGTGCACCCAGAAGTAAGGTAGATAATCAGGAACCATGCTCGAATGGAGAGAAAGTAGAGCCAGCGTCCTACAGAGTTTGAGCACAGTGTTCCTTGTGCAGGGTGGCTGCACTTTACGAGTTTGTGAGTTAGCACTTTTCATTTTTTTAATGGAAATTTTAATTAATAAAATAGTTTTAAACTGCGGAGGCCTTCTTCTCTTCTCTATGGTGCATGTACCATGAGATATCATCTAAAGGAGTGGTGGAAGCCATGTATGGGATACATTCCTGAAAGATACAAGTGCACTCTAATCACTTGTTTTCCATAAAGGGGTCATGGAGATCTAATGAATTTTCCAGTGTGAAGATAAAGGAGGAAACTGAATAACACAGCAGGTTGTGGGGGGTTGATGCAAATTTCATGGAATAGGAAGTAAAACAGATTGTATATTATCTGTTATAAAAGATACACAGCACTAAGAACTTTTAAAAGGAGCACTGGGCACTATATATATTTATATAGTATATAGGCAGTGCACAGTACTGTATATATACAGTACTGTGCAAAAGTTTTAGGCAGGTGTGAAGAAACGCTGTGAAATAATGTCAAGTATTCAAAAATATATATTTTAATAGTTTTTTTTTTACCAATTTACAAAATGGAAAGTAAACAGAGGAAAAATCCAAATCCAATCAATATTTGGTGTGACTACCCTTTGGTTTCAAACCAGCATTAATTCTTACACTTACACACTTTGTACACTTGCACAAATTGAGGGTTTTTGTAGGATTAGAGTCAGGTGTATCATGAACCAATTATACTAAGCAGGTGCTAATGATCATCGATTTCATATATAGGTTGAAATACAGTCAATAGTTGAAACAGAAACAGCTGTGTGGGAGGCTTAAAACTGGGTGAGGAATAGCCAAACTCTGCTTCCAAGGTGAGGCTGTGGAAGATAGTTTCATGTCACAGGTCACACACCATGGCAAGACTGAGCACAGCAAGAAGACACAAGGTAGTTTCAGCAAGGTCTCTCCCAGGAAAAGATTTCAAAGCAGGCTGGGGTTTCAAGATGTGCTGTTCAAGCTCTGTTAAAGAAGCACAAAGAAATGGGCAACGCTGAGAACAGTAGACTCAGTGGTCGGCCAAGCAAACCTAATACTGCAGATAAAAGACACATCATGCTTACTTCCCTTCAATATCGGAAGATGTCCAGCAGTGATATCAGCACAGAACTGATGGAAACCGGTGGGATCCTGGTATACCTATCTACTCTCCGGGGAACCCTGACCAAAAGTGGTCTTCATGGAAGAATTGCTCCCAAAAAGCCACACCTCTGACGTGGAAAAAAAGGCTAAGCAACTCAACTATGCATGGAGACATATAGACTGGGATGCAGAAAAATGGCAGCAGGTGCTCTGGACTGAAGAGTCAAAATGTCAGATATTTGGCTTTAGCAGGAGACAGTTTGTTGATGAAGGGCTGCAGAGCGGTACAATAATGAGTGTCTGCAGACAACTGTGAAGCATGGTGGATGTTCCTTGCAAGTTTGGGGCTGCATTTCTGCAAATGCAATTGGAGATTTGATCAGGATCAATGGTGTCATTAATGCTGAGTAATACAGGCAGATACAGTACTTATTCATCATTCCATACCATCAGGGAGGCATGTGATTGGCCCCAAATTTATTCTGCAGCAGGACAATGACCCTCAAACATACAGCCAATGTTATTAGGAACTGTCTTTGGTGTAAAGAAGACCAAGGAGTCCTGGAAGCGATGGTTTGGCCCCCACAGAGCCCTGATCTCAATATCATGAAGTCTGTTTGGGATTACAGGAAGAGGCAGAAGGATTTGAGGCAGTTTACATCCAGAAAAGATCTGTGGTTAGTTCTCCAAGATGTTTGGAACAACCTACCTGCCAAGTTCCTTCAAAACAAGTGTGCAAGTGTACCTAGAAGGATTAATGCTGGTTTAAAGGCAAATGGTGGTCACACCGTGTATTGATTTGATTTGGATGTTTTCTTTGTTCCTTTACTTTCCATTTTATTAAAATACACTATCCGAAGACCATTTTGAAGCATTTTCTGGCACGTTTTGTTTACAAGTTTAAATCCATATTTTTGCTAGAAAATTACTTATAACCCCAAACATTATTTATATTTTTTTAGCAAAGACCCTAGAAAATGAAATGGCGATTGTTGCAATTTTTTTTTATGTCACATGGTATTTCTGCAGCTGTTTTTCAAAGTTTTTGTGGGAAAAAATACACTTCAGTGAATTAAAAAAAAAACAACGCAATATATCCCAATTTTTTTGTAAAATATGAAAGAGGATGCTAAGGCAAGTAAATAGATACCTAACATGTCATACTTGTGGAATGGCAACAAACTATGATAGAGAAAATGTAAACATTTTTTATCGGTTACCTGTTTTAGTTACAGAGGAGGTATAGCACTAGAAGTATTGTTCTCGCTCTAATGTTCACAGCGATACCTCACATGTGTGCTGCAAATACCGTTTACATATGCTCGTGCGACGGGGAGCTTTACTTTTTTTTTCTTATTTATTTTATTTTTTTTTTTTTTTAACTCAATTTTATTCGTATTACAAGGAATGTAAACATCCCTTGAATTAAAAATATGCATGACAGGTCCTCTTTAAGGAGAGATCTGAAGTCAAAAAGACCCCAGATCTCTCATTTACCTTTAAAAGCAAAAGATAGAAAAGAAAAAAGTTTGATCTTTTGCTATAAAAAAGAAAACAAATTGTTTACATCCGCCGCAGACCGGAAGTCATCCCCGGATGTCATGACGCCTCTCCGGTCCTCCATGACCATAGGGGAGATCAGAGACCATAGAGTCTCTCATCACCTCTATCTTTAGATGGCCGCACTGTTGGATTGCTTCTCTGGTGCCCCAGTTTTACTGGTAAACCGGAGAAACACTGGCGAGTGGGGGGGGTGGGGGCCTCTCGCCGCTACTATCCAGTGGCTAATGAACTGCTAGGACTGCGTTCAGGAGAAAACCTGCCTCCTGCTGAAAAAAAAAAACAGGATTAAGACTGATATTGTATCTTCAGCCATAACCCCAGCAGGGGCGGACTGATACCTTTTTCATAGGCTTTTTTGAGTTTGGGCAAAGACACAGGGGCCCCATGATCCCCTATTGCCCGGGGGCCCCATGAGTTGTCAGTCCGCCCCTGAACCCCAGTAAACCACTTGACTTTAATAAGGCTTACCTGTAGGTACTGTAAATATCTCCTAAATGTACACTTTTTAGGAGATATTTACTTTTAGCGCCATTGATGTCACCAGCGCATGCGCACCGCATTCTCAATGGACGGCCGTCCATTGAGAGAGCCATGCCAGGGCTGAAACTCCCTTTGCACAAACGTGGGAGTGACAACATCACAACCCAGCCAATCAGATGGCCGCAGCTTGCAATCATGTAAGGAAGACCGGGTGAAGATGGAAGCCTCGGGGAGCCGTG